GAGTTGGAGTCTTACTCTGTTGCCCAGGCTGGAGTGCAGTGGCACTCTCACGGCCACCGCAGCCTCGACCTTCTGGGCTCAGGTGATCCTTCTGCCTCAGCCTTCCAAGTAGCTGGGATCACAGGCGTGTGCCACCCTGCCCAGCTAATTTTTAAATTTATTGTAGAGCTGGGTTCTTGCCAAGTTGCCCAGGCTGGTCTTGAGCCCATGGGCTCAAGCAATCTTCCCACTTTGGCCTCCCAGAGTGCTGTGATTCTAGGCATGAGCCACCGTGCCCAGTTCGTGATTTTTTTTTTTTTTTTAAGAAAAAAGAAATGAATAAATGGGCTCACCTCAGTCAAAAACAGCTGTAGCTAAGTGCACAGGAAGGCAGCTCCTGCAGATAGCTCCCTGCACACAGCTTTTCATCAGCTGTGGGTCAGGGCAGAGCTTTTTACAAGGGGTTTGAGTGGGAGGCCAGGGCTGGCATCTATAATACAGTTTTTGATTATGAGTTTTTTTTTTTAGTTGGAGTCTCACTCTGTCACCGAGGTTGAAGTGCAGTGGTACGCTCATGGCTATCACAGCCTTGATCTGCTGGGCTCAGGTAATCCTTCCGCTCCAGCCTTCCAAGTAGCTGGAACTACAGGCATGCACCACCATGCCTGGCTCATTTTTTGGTTTGTTTATTATAGAGATGCGGTCTTACCATGTTGCCCAGGCTGGTCTCGAAACCCATGGACTCAGGCAATCCTCTTGTGTTCTCCTCCCGAAGTGCTGGGATTGCAGGTGTGAGTCACCGTGCCCAGTTATGATACAGTTTTAACAAGTATTAAGCTTCGTGTCATTGTACTTAAATCAGTTTCAATAAAGTTAGAGAAGGATGGGAGTAAATCAGAGATTAATAGTAAAACTATGTTCAGATTCTTACCATTAACATTGTGATTAGCAGTGATTATGAAATACTAGTGGTGTGCTCCCCATGTGGACTCTGGATGTATCTCTGATAACTGTTCTGGGGCCCCAGAGGGGGAGCATTACACTTTACAGCAGTTATTCTCAACTTTGGCTGCACATTGGAACTACCTGGGGTGGGGGTGGGCGGTGAATAATATTGATGTCTGGGTACTGACTTCTTCAATCTGGATTCATATCTGGGCATCAGGAGTTTTAAATGCTCCCCAGGTGTTTCTAATCTGCAGTAAGGCAGAAAACCACTGCCTTACTCTTGCTTTTCCCAGTGTGTTTCATGAATATAATTTCTATCACCTAGAAATGTATTAGAAATGCAGTATCTCCAGCCTCACCCCGGGCCTCCTGAATCAGAACCAGCATTTTAGCAAGATCCCCAGAAGAAATGTACATATATATAGTATTAAAGTTCAGGAAAATGCTTTACACATCGCTTGCAGAGAACCATCCTATCCTCCTGAATTGCTGCAGTCCTTAATAGCGATGCATCTAGGCAACACTCTCAGGTCCCCTCCCACTGTGGGAGCTTTTCTGTCCTCTCCTGCTTTCAAAAAAAAAAAAAAAAAGCGATGTATTTATACAATTACATCAAACCAGATATCTTGTAGTTTTCATTTCTTTTTACAAATCTATGTAAGGTTGGGTTACAAATTTCACGGGTGTCATGGAGTCCAGCCTGAGGCCCCTTTAGGCTGGCACCTGAGGTGATGGTTTTTATTTCTATTCTGCATCAAACCCTGGGTTTGCTAGAGCTCTTTGGTCTTATCTCTTTGTTCTTTAGAAAATGGAAATCTTTTTCTGACTTGTTTCCTAGGAATAACCTCAAAGTTCAAGCTAAACTACCCTGTAGACAGCTTTCTGATTCCTGGCATTAGCCATGACTTCCCCTGTGCCTGGGCATTCACTGTGCTGCTCCTGACCCTGTGCTGGAGAGCAGGTTTTCAGCCAGAACAGAGGTCCCAACATTTTTGGCATCAGGGACCATTTTCGTAGAAGACAATTTTTCCACAGACGAGGCGGGAGGGGGTGGCGGAATCATTCTCATAAGGAGCACGCAACCTAGATCTCTTGTATGCGCAGTTCACAAAAGGGTTCACACTCCTGTGAGAATCTAATGCCGTCATTGATCTGACAGAAAATTGATCTCACCCACTGTTCACCTTCTGCTGTGCAACCTGGTTCCTAACAGGCCACCGACTGATGCTGGCCTGGGGGTTGGGAGCCCTGAGTCAGAACACACCTGATGGCCACTCTGGTTATTCAGATGTTCAAGTAATTCTGTACCAAATGGCAAAGAACATGCCCCAAGCAGTCCCTGTATCCCAGCCTGTGGAGGGCTCAACCCTGAGGTGCAAACCCTGGGTTTGCTAGAGCTCTTTGGTCTTATCTCTTTGTTCTTTAGAAAATGGAAATCTGGATGGGCTGAGCATCTGATGCATGCTAAAGTGAAGGAACCTGTGATTTATTATGACATTTACAGAGCCCTCTAAAAGGACCCAGATTTGTAATTGATGGTGTACAAGGAGGGACCCAAAAAACCCAGGAATTGCTCTTTGGAGGGAGGGTCCCTTGTAGTACAGTCTTCCTACACTAGGTAATTGTTCTAGGAACCCACTGGCATCAGTGTACCAGCTAGTGTTGTGAGAGGCTGTGTTCAGTTTCAGTGAAATTTTTTTTAGAAGAGTCTTTCACCCCATTTACCCATTTCTCCATTTGATGCAATGTACCTATTGAGATGCTTTTTCTACCACTCAAAACAGTTTCTCAACTTGTCAGTTTTGATGCCTTTTAGTTCTTCTGCTGTTTTTTGTTTTACCTCTTTCACATAGGCAAGACATTTCCCTTTGAGGACGTTTTTCATCTGGGGAAACCAAAAAGTCACTTGGGGTGAGATCAGGTGACTAGGGAGGGTAGGACATGGGGTTAGGTTGTTTTTGGTAAAAAAATGCACCTGCTTGGTGTGGGCAGGTGCATTGTCATGGTGGCAGAAACAGTCACCTGTTTACCACCACTTGGGATATTTCTTCTACAAATCTTGACACAACCTTTTCAAAACTTCCAGTTAAAAACTAATGGGTTCCTAGAACACTTATCTAGCAGGGGAAGTCTGTACTACAAGGGGCTTGCCTGCCAAAAGTCAAATGTTTTCTGGAGGGTCCTCCCTCATAAATCATCAAAAGACCTCTACTTTTTCTACCTCTAGACTTAAAAAACTGTAGATACCTTCTGTACTTAAATCAAAGTCTTTCAACTTGGTTAAATCAAAGTCTTCTATCTGGAGTTAACTGGAATAAGCTTTTGAGTTCTTTGCAACTATCAGTGTCTTCAAACTATGGAGTTAAAACATACAAATCATTCTAACACAGATGTATCACTGTTTGTTCCTTTAAATGGTGATAATAAGAATCACCGGGCAGGTTGGGTATGGTGGCTCAAGCCTGTAATCCCAGCACTTTGGGAGGCCGAGGCGAGAGAATTACCTGAGCCCAGGGGTTTGAGACCAGCTTGGGCAACTTGGTGAGACCTCGTCTCTACAATGAATAAAAAAATTAGCCAGGAGTGGTAGCACGTGCCTGTGGTTCCAGCTACTTGGAAGGTTGAGGTGGAAGGATCGCCTGAACCCTGTAGGTCGAGGCTGCAGTGGCCGTAAGTGTGCCACTGCACTCCAGCCTGGGCGACAGAGTGAGATTCCAACTCAAAAAAAAAAAAGACTCATCATGCATCGTGTAGACAGACCTGTGGTTGAAGTTTCTACAGCTCAGAAGTGGAAAGTTAGAGTGAACAAAGGAACCATCCTCGAGAAGACTGGTGTCTGCCTTTGCATGGCTGCTGACACACAAGGGAGTTAGAGTCAGTTTCTTACACCCCCGCAAATATCCCAGTTCTTTCATAATATCAGATAAAATGTTTAATGCCGTTATTATACAAGATCATCACCAGTAATAATTGCTCTGCTGCTTGCTGTTACATGACCAACGCTTGTAATTTGTTTTAACCGGGAGCCCTGCAAAGATCAATTTTCGTTCACTGATTGCTTCACTAGGTGCTCATAGTTCTAGCAGCAAGCTTAGTTACCTTTTGTTTGAAATGTCCCAGGGGTGGCCTGTGGAACCTGGCCAAAGGCCCAAAGAGAAGGCTCTGGAGGCTTCAGACAAATAGCCTCAGTTCTCAGTTGCCAAGAACTCTATGAAGAGAAGATGTCTCTTTGGGGATCCCAAATCTGGCTGTCTATCAGGAGAGCATTCTAAAAATACAAGTTCAGTTGGGTGTGGTGGCTCACACCTGTAATCCTAGCACTTTGGGAGTCCGAGGCGGGGAATTGCTTGAGCCCAGGAGTTCAAGACCAGCCTGGGCAACTTGGCGAGACCTTGTCTCTACAATAAATTAAAAAATTACCTGAGTGTGATGGTGCGCATCTGTTGTCCCAGCTACTTGGAAGACCGAGGTGGAAGGATCGCCTGGATCCTGGAGGTAGAGGCTATGGTGAGCTGTGACCCTGCTGTTGTACTCCAGCCTGGGTTACAGAGTGAAATTCTGACTCAAAAAAAAAAAAAAAAAAAAAACACTGGCTTTGGGCAGAGCAAGGGCATCGGGTGGTGGTAGCCAAGCAAGGCACCAAGAGCAGAGTATAGCATCCTGCCAACTACCCCAAGGGGGCTGCAACTTGGTCCTCATGCCTGGCAGAGGTTCCCAGGTGGCTGATGTCCAGCTGTCTAAATGAGAACCATGGAGAAAGCTGAATGAACGCAGAATCCTGGCCCTCTCCTGGACATGCTGACTCAGTAGGTCAAGGAGAGTGTCCAGCTGTGTCCATATTTAAAAAGCTCCCATGTGACGTGAGCCTGAGAACCTTAGATTAAAGCACAGCTAATAAAGCTGGGTCTCCGGTAACATCCCATGAGTCAACACCAAGAGGACTGGAACCCAACCCTGATCTTCTACAGTTGGTGTGGCTCAGAGACAAGGGTTCTATTCTGCCATATGAAAACACCCACAGTGTATATACCCTTCTTGGATGCTATGTACAAACAAGGAAACATGACAATGAGTTGCTTTTTCTATTGCATCCCTTCTATTTGGTTATTTTACCAAGTTTCTCATGGGAGAAATGTAGTTACAAACAAGAACATAATTCTGTTACAAATGTTTTGGGATTCAGAAAGCATTAGGTATGCTGCTACATTAAGAATGTTTTTGGCCACAAGTAACAAGCTTCTCAACGGATAGTAAGATAAAGAACACCCAAGTCTATCCATCTCCTATCTAAGAGTCGTGTGGAGGCTGGCATTTCCGCAGGTCTCTGGGACTTTCCTTCATGGCCACAAGAGGGCAGCTGTGGCTCCAGCCTCTGCATTTGAGCTGGGATGAAGGAAGAGGAAGACCACTGGCATTCCACTATCTCACTGGCCACGATCCCTGTGGCCACTCCTAACTGCAGAAGAGGCTGGGAAATTGAGTATTTCTCTTTCACAGTCTTTAAGGTAGCAGCCAGAAGGGAAAATGGGGAGGGGTCGGGTGTTGGATGAGCCCACCTGGAGTGCCTGCCACGGCTTTTCAATTACATTTTATTAAGCACTGTTTAATTAAATCTAGAGACACCTGATCAGATGCAAAGCAGTTAATTATCACAGAAGATACTGAAAGGAAATCAGGCATGCAAATCTCCACTGTCAGTAATTCTGCACATAGGTACTGGTCTCTCGTTCTCTGCTGGAACCACTTCTAGTTGTTTAAGAACTTCTGTTCCTTCAATCAGTTGCCTACATGAGAGGGAAAAAATGGACAATGTAGTCAGTCATGAACTGTCACATTTAGCTTACATTCCCAAAAGGAGTCTGCCCAGCCCAAGCCAAGACTATTTCCTACAAAGTAAACTAGCACTCATCCTGAGAAACTGCAATGGCGCTCACGTGCTGCACCTCCCCCCAGCACCATCACTCAGGCTGCTGCCTCCCACTGGGCCTGTGGTCTCGGTTCCCAGCTGGCTTCCCTCATCTGCTCGGCACCCTCCCCCCTTCTCACTGCACTCAGGGTGATCTTTTAGAAGTAAAAATCTGATGTCACCTCCCTGCTCTAAGAATGACAATAATTTCCCATTATCCTTATGACAAAAACCAAAACTCCCTGCTAAGATCCCCCCAGAGTCCACCCGGCCAGCATTCTGCCTCCCAGGGTGAGAGGTGTGGCGGCATGCTCCCTCAAGCCCTCTACTCCAGCCAGACCGGCGTTCGGCATCTGAAGAGCCCCATTCTCTCTTCCTGAATGACTGTCCCCTCTACTCTTGTCCCCACCACCTCTTGGCCGTGTCACCCCCTGGCCTTCCTTCAGACTTCAGCTTGGTCATCACTTGCTCGGGGAAGTCTCCCGGGCCCCCTGCTTATGTTAAGCCTCCCTTCTCCTTTAGTGGAGTTCCCAGGACTGAATTCTTACATGTATTTATATGCGTCTTGGGTGACTTTCTGGTTTTCCCATGAGTGCAGGGATCACACTTGTGCTCAGTGTCCAGTGCCCAGTACCATCCTGGCACACACCAGGTACCTGACCAATATGTAGGTATCTTAATCTAAAACACAACTTGTCCAGCCTGAACCCGTGAGCTTCTCTCCCAAATCCTCCTCCTTATATTCACTATCTTGGTGAATGGACCAACCATCCAACCAGTTCCCAAATCCTAGGAGTTAGTCTAGACATGCACTGCCCAGTAGGGTAGCCACTAGTCTCATGTGACTGTTCAATTTTAATTAGAAGGCCGGGGTTGGGAGCTCACGACTGTAATCCCAGCACTTTGGGAGGCTGAGATGGAGAGGATTGCTTGAGCCCAGAAGTTCAAGACCAGCCTGGGCAACATAGCAAGACCTGGTCTATTTATTTCTAATTTTTTTAGTGAGACCTAAAAAAATTTAGAAAATTAGCCAGGTGTGGTGGCACATGCCTGTAGCCCCACCTCCTCGAGAGGCTGAGGTAGAAGGATCACTAGAGCCCAGGAGGTCAAGGCTGTGATGAGCCATGATCTCCACTTCAGCCTAGGCAACAGAATAAGACCCTGAGAGAGAGAGAGAGAGAGAGAGAGAGAGAGAGAGGAGAGAGAGAGAGAAAGAGAGAAGAGAGGGGGGGGAGAGAGAGAGAGAGAGAGAGAGAGAGAGAGAGAGAGAGAGAGAAGGAAAGAAAAGAAAGGAAGGAAAAAAAAGGAAGGACTGAACTTCATTTATGGCCTTTTATGACCATGGCTTCTTTTTGTTGTTGTTGTTGAGTTGGAGTCTCACTCTGTTGCCCAGACTGGAGTGCAGTGGCTGCTCCCGGCCACCGCAGCCCCGCCC